TCTAATCATGTCATAGTTCTGTGACAGTGCCAAGGACTTACAATTCTTCCTGCTTGTTTCCCAGCCTCTGTGCATTTATGAACAGGCACCTAAGGTAACTAGTTGATTGCCCTGATTTCTCATGAAGAATGACATCTACTTTCCTGTTGCCCCTTCCTGCTTATTCTTCCTCCAGGTCACATACTTCACCAATTATCTCAGGGCTTTTGTATCCATTCCCTGGTGAACCTAATTTAAGGCACTTCTCAGTAGGGGCATGTATAGACAAAAGAGAGGCCCCAAATTGAAGTGGTGGGTTTTAAAAAACACCACTTCAATTTACAGCTTATTAAACCCCCCGTGTCATGCACAAACCCTGCTGACTTACCTTCCTCTCCAGTGGGGAGGGGAGGGTGAGCTGCCGGAGGGTGGAGCAGTCCCTGGCCTGCTGACAGGGGGTGGCTGGTGCTTCCCTCTGCGGCAGCTGTGCCTCCCCCTCCCCCCCCCCCAGATGGCACCCTCCTGCAGGCACCCAGTTTGGGCAGTCCTGGGGGGCACCACAACCACAGAGGGAAGCACTGGGCCCCCGCACAGCTCAGGCAGGCAGGCAAGCTTCAGGGGTGTTTGTGTGTGTGGGGGAGGGAAGATCAGGCTCCCTGCTTTTCTTGGACAGAGATGCTTTTCTGAGCTGCTGTCAGGCTGCTTTCAGGCCTTCCTTCAGAGTGGTGGAGCTGCACAGAGCCTGGTGCTTCACTCTGTGGCTGTAGGGGCAGCAAACTAGAACTCCTCAAAGGAATTTTAGTTTGCTGTGCCCTAAGTCATTTAAGGCACATTATGCTGCTGAATTTCCTGCAGTGGCTGGAATTAATGCACAATATACTGCAAAGGCATGCAAACACCAAAACCATTATGGTGGTGCAAAAGCATATAGCCTGCTTTAAAGCATCGTGTGCACACACCTGTTGTTTCATCTACACACAGCCTAGGTTAGTGGGCCTGTCTGTGAAGATGTTTTTCCCTCTCTTCATCAGGTGGATTCCATCCCTTCCTAGCAATCCTTCTTCTTGGAACATCATCCTGTGGTCAAGGAAGCCAAAGCCCTGCTGGCAACACCATCACCATTACTGCCATTCTTTTGCTTATGTACAGTAGTGTGTTACCCTGCATGTATTTTCATTGAAATTTTAAATGCTGGTGACCTGGGGATGAGCAAGTAATTTCCTCAGGCTTCTAGAAGTGCAGTATGCCTTCCATATATACCAAGAGGGGATTTGATAGCATTCTGCACTCTTCCAGGGGAGCCCCAAATTAATGGCATTGCATAAATGCCTGGGTGCATATTTAATTGCTCACTTTATCCAAAAATATATGTATTCTATACATGCAAATGTTAATAATCATGTTCCTTCTAGGAGCAACCATACTACTATCTGTTGACCAGACAGTTTTATTTTTAATGCAGTATTTGTTAGGACAAAAGTATTTAGAAGAAAATAGATTTAAAATAATAAAGAGAATTATATGTATTTAACTTACCAATTATGTAATTATCTTCTACATGGAGACCTTCTATAACATCTTCTGCAGAGCCTCCCTCTGTACCAGTTGGTTCATGTCATAACTTACTCATGACTTTGGGGAGCCACTAATAACTGAAAGCTCTGCTCTAGGATCAAGTCTCTTTTTAACAGTTTATAGTTGTTTGATCATGAAATAATTTTAAAAAAATTGTTAAGTACAGCTTTGTGGAAGTACTCAGGCAAGGCAAGACAGTTGAGGGATTTAATTCTTCTGATACCAGTTTGCATTTTGTCACCTACAAAATTAAATGTTTTGGGGAGAGAAATATGACATTGATTGCAGTGCTGTTTTGAATGCTAAGTGGAGGGCCTGAGTTACACAAATGGTGATGCTTTAGGGTGCAAAACAATGTGGATTGTACCTGGTGTAGATCTAGGCAGCTTAATTTAAGCTGTCTAAGTCTAGGCCAGGAGCAGCACATATAGGAATTCACTATTCCTGGGAACAGTATGGAAAGCCTGATGTAAATAACTTGGAGGGGCTGGCAGGTCTGTGGAGGGTGGGGATTGGTGGGTCCATGTTAGGGAAGGGAGTAGGGAGCTAAAATAAACCAGTCAGGGTTGTGTGGGGTGGAAATGGCATAGCCCCAAGGATGGGGTGAGTAGCTATGGTTTCTCAGCCCAAGAGCTGTGCTGTGAATGTGTAAAGGTGTTTGGGAGATCAGGCTAATCCTTTCTCTGTCTAAGCTAGTGCAATTCTTGAGGTGTGCTAACTTACATCAGGAATGCTGGTGCCAATATGCCATCATGTTGTTGTTGCCTTCAGCTGAAGGACTACAAATCAGGTTGTAATCTGGCAAACTTCCATGCCTGTTGCATACATTTGAGTGAATACTCAAATGACAAATTAGAAAATGAAACTATTGGATTATTTTATTTTATTGCTTTATTGGCCCATGCTGGATTTTCCCGTTTTATATATCTACTGCTTTTCACCACCCAAATTTTAAATATCTCCAGAGGTGAGATTTTTCATCCTCCCACTTTTTTTTTCAGGGCCAGGAAGCTGTGTGTCTGTGTTTATGTATATATGTTTAAAGTGAACAAGTGTCATTTCAGAATAGCTATGGCTATGGTACTGTGATAATTTTTTTCTTCTCCAAAGAATTAAAGAGGGAAAAGTTCTAAAGTTTGTAAATTTATCTCACAGGATAGAGTTAATAATAAAGAAATATTTGATATAAATTCAGATATTTAAAGCCATCTCATCAAAACTGTCACCTATTATCATTAAATTATAACTCCCAGGAGAATATGTCACTATTTCTCTTACAGCCTTTCTTCTTTCCAAAACTTAAACTTTTATTTCACTGTAGATAGCTCCCAAGTGATTTATTCAGCTGCAGAAATATTTCTTTGTAAACTCAACTAGCATTGAATAGTGTTGAATAGTTGTATGAATCAAGCTCCACCAAAACCAGTTGTTAGGCAGAATCTTCACATAACTTTCAAGAGTACAAAACACTTCCAACCCAGGCTTATTTACATTTCTCAAATCATATTTTATAGTAACTGACTTGAAAGACAACATACTTAGTATTGTGGAAGGAATAGTTTGGACATATCACATCAAATTACAAAATAGAAAAAAGGAATATTCTTTCCCAAAGCCTTTTTGTAAATAATGGATGCCCTGGCTATAAATTCTAATTCTGAGCAAAGGTTTCACATCAAATTGTTTAAACCATAACATTGGCTTAGGGGTATAATTTGAGTCTAACTGAATGATCAATTAATTATAATTACCATCCGACTGAAGTTCCATAGTAAAGAATTTATAGTCCAATGGGACCATACAGCTGACTTGTTCAGGCATTCAAGAGACCAGATTTCCTTGATTGGGTTAGCCCTTTCTCAATCTAAGTGCCCCCCTTTAGGTGCACTAATTAGATTGGGTGCTCCACTTTTGAGCTAAATTAACCCTTCTCATTGCCTGCACAATTGGACATTGAGATTGACCTAACTCTGGTTGGTCTAACTAAATAAAATTTGAAATAAGTAAACATCCAAAAAGAAAGAGGGTGTTCATATCGATAGAACAGTGATAGGTTTGATGGTACACCTAAACAAACAAAATAAAACTATTCCTGATGGTGGCTTATAAAGAGGTTGGCTTATGGGGCAGGGGGTGTCATCTTTTTGTCCATGGCTGTCCTCATGGTTTGGAGGAAGTATTGGTTGTTGTGGACAAGGATGAAATGCATAACCTATGCAATGCATCAGATTTAGAAATCCTGATGATGTAGTTTTTTAGGCAGTCTGTGATACCTTCAAAGTATGGAATGCTAGTATATAGTTAGTGATAGTGAAGACAAGCACAGTTGAAAGTATGCAGTTCCAGAGATATAACTAGCAGGTTATATCTAGGAAAAACCTGCCAAAAAATCTGGGTGTGGGGAAAAATGCAAGAGTACCAGTGAACACTGGAGAAGAAGGGGTGCCAAGCAGCAAAGAGGTGAGGGATAGAAATATTACCATACAAAAATTCCCTGGACACTGCTGCTGTGTCTTGGATGTTGTGTTCATGCAACTGGGTGCTGCTTCTGTTGCCATGGCACAGACTTCCTTGGGAACCACCATTCTGGTGTCCAAGTTAAGTTGGAGCTGTGGGCTAGTGCCCCATCTGACCACCCCAAGTTATACTACTGTGGCCTTTTCAAGGAGGTTGAATAGCTAGTGAATTTTGTTGAGGAAGTTAGCTGCTGCTTGTAGAAAACTTGCTCTGAGTGAATAATAGTTCATAAAATCATTGCAGAGTCAGGCTGGAAGGGAACTCATGAGGTCATCTAGTCCAGCACCCTGCTCAAGACAGGATCATCCATGACTAAACATGTCCTCTAACCTTCTCTTGAAAATTTCCAGGGATAGAATTGTTTCTAGGTTGCCTGTCTCAAAGCCTATCTTCGTAGTCAGAATATTCCTCCTAATCTCCAACCTAAATTTCCTCTCCTGTAGGGTGAGGCAGTTTCTTTTAGTCCTGTTTCCTACAGCCACAGAGGAAAAGTTCCATCCTCTCTATAATCATCCTTCAAGTATTTGAAGACTGTTGTCAAATCTCCTCTCTCTTTTCTTCACCAAAATAAATAATAATCTTTCAAGCTTTCCTCATACGTAAGTCATACTTCCCAGCTTTCTAATCATTTTTGTTGCTCCTCCCTGGACTCTTTCCAATCTATCCACATCTTTTTTTAAGTGTGGGGACCAAAACAAGCTACACTACTCCAAGTGAGACATCACTAGTGCCAAAGAATGGAAGAATTGCTTCCCTTGGTATGCAAAAGACACCGTCACAGAGTACCCTCCAGGGGGATGCTTGTTTAGGACTCCTGTAGCCTTTTTTTGCTCTCTGAGAGTATTCTGCAAAGCCAGCCCAGATGCTGGCACTTAACACTTCATTCATAGGCTAATCAGCTAAACTGAGTAACTATGTTATAACTTGACCAAGACTGACACAGAAATATACAATAAAATCTGTAGCTTGTCACAGTTACCCAATATGATGTTGGTTCTTTTTGAAACATGCTATAGCTTGTATTCAGTTTATGGGTTAATGTAACCCCCAGGTTCTTCCCTGTGATACTGCAGCCTAGCCAATCATTCCCCAATCTGTATTTGTGCATGCAATTATTCTGTCTCAAGTACAGGACTTCTCAGTTATCCTTGTTGAATCTCATCTGGTTGATAGCAGACCATTTCTCCAGGTCCAGGTCACTCTGATTCCTGATACTACCCTCCCAAGTGTGTGCAACCTCACTCAAGTTGGAATTATCTGCAAATTAGCTTAGTATGTACTCAGTAGCATTGCAAAATAATAAATTAAGAGGTTAAATATACCAGAACCAGGACAGACCCCTGGGGAACTCTATTTTATGCATCCTTCCAACTAGATATTGAGCCATTGGTTACTCATAGGGCACAGTTTTGCATCCCGTTTACCATACTTGAGTCTGTATTTCCTTAGCTTGTTAATGAAACAAGTGTCAAATAACTTGCTAAAGTCAATGTATCTCACATCTGCTGCTCATTTTTATAGCCAATACATTTCTTCATTGCTTCAATTTAAAACTATTACCCCCTATCCTGTCTCCTGTGGCCACCATCCTCTTTCTTTGGTACCCTTCAGGTATTTGAAGAATATTATCAAATTCCACCTCAAATGTATCTTCTCCAAATTGAATAATCTGTTGTTTCTGCCTTTTCTTATGACTCTCATTCTTAGAACTGCAAGCATTTTTGTCACTCTTCACTTGACACTTTCTAATTTACACAGTCCTTTCTTGAAGTATGAGGTCCACACCTGGACAAAGCACAGTTAAGGGCAGTAGTCCCCCCCCCCCAGCTCCCATATGCCCCAAGACAGACACAGTTGCACAAGCACCCATGACACAAGTTTTGCCTCTCAGCAGCCAGAGGTGCAGGGCCCCAGAAACCAGAAGCCCCTGCACGTATCTCCTTGATAGCTGTACGGCTTTGTGGCCTCAGTAGGGACTAGCAGGCCTGCAGCTTTCACCCTGCTGAACCTTAACACACACGGTGTCACCCATGACATGAGTTTTGTTTGTCTGCACCTTGAGGTGAAGTTTCCCCCAAACCTCTGTAGATATGTCCTAGAAACTTGGCAGGCTTTGTGGTCCCCATTGGAACTATCAGCCCTGCAGTTTTGACCCCACTGTGGCTTAACATATACATGTGATATGAGGTTTGCTTTCAAGAATTTGGGGTGCAGTTTCTCCAAAACCCCTGTACCTATCTCCTTGAAGCTTGGCAAGCTTTGTGGCCTCAGCAGGGGCTACCATCCTTGCAGTTTTCACCCCTCTGTGCCTTAACACACACAGTGTCACCTATGTCATGGGCTTTACTTGTCAGCAGTTTGAAGTGCAGTTTCCCCCAACCTCCTGAACCGATCTCCATGAAACTTGGTATTTTTTGTGGCCTTAGTGAGAGATACCACCCCTACAGTTTTCACCCCACTGTGGCTTAACACACACACGTTACATGAATTTTGCTTTCAGAATTTGAGGTGCAGTTTGTCAGAAAACCCTGCACCTATCACCTTGAAACTTGGCATACGTAATGCTTTCAGGAGGGGCTGCTATTTCTGCAATTTTCCTATGAATCAGCCAAAAGACATCAAAGTTATAGATATTTAATTGATTCCCCATTATACTCTATGACTGAATCTCTGAATTGCTGAATCTTTTCCAAATTGATTCAGAAGCTCTGACTCAATTCAGAAAGCCTAAGGATTCCAGAGATTCGATTTGGATTAATAGATTTGGCCTCTATCATCTCCAAATCTGAATCGTGATCTGAAGATTTGCACAGCCCTAGTAATAATCAAATGGCTTAAGGACTAGTTGGCATCAAGTGGAGTGCTCCAGGGGTCATTTCTGAGGTCATTTTTTTTCAATATCTTTATCAACAATGTGGAAAGTGGCATGAAATGCATACTCAGCATATTTCCAGATGACACCAAGCTAAGGGGAGTAATAGATATACAGGAGAGTAGAATTTCAACAAATTGGAGGATTGGGTTAAAATAAATTTCCGGAAGTTCAGTAAGGACCAGTACAAAGTCCTGTACTTAGGATGGAACAATACTATGCACTGGTACAAGCTGTGGACCAGCTCGCTAAGTAGCAGCTCCGCAGAAAAAGACCTGGGGGTTACCATGGACAATAAGCTCAATATGAGCCACCAGTGTGCAGTTGTTGTGAAGGAAGCTAAAAACAGAGTGTGCTACATTAGTAGAAGCATTGCCATCAGATAAAGGGAAGGGCTTATTCCCTTCTATTGAGCACTGGGTAGGCCATATCTGGAGTACTGGGCCACATCTGGACTTTTGAGCCACCCACTACAGAAAGAATGTAGACAAATTGGAGAGCATCCAGTGGAGAACAATGAAAATGGCAAGGGGGTGGAGGCACATGACTTCTGAGTAGAGTCTGGGGTGATTTAGTATGCAGGAGACAAGAGTGAGGCGGGATTGAATAGCACCCTCAACTACCTGAAGGGTGGTTCTAAAGAGGATGAAACTAGACTTTTCTCAGTGGTGGCAGATGATAGAACAAGGAACAACAGTCTCAAGTTGCAGCAAGGGAAGTTTATGTCAGATATTAGGGAAAACTGCCTCACGTGGAGGTTAGTAAAGCACGGGAGCAGATTACCCAGAGAGACTGTGGAATCTGTGTCTTTGGAGGTTTTTAAGACCTAGGTTTAGACAAAGCTGGGTTGATCTAATTGGGGATGGTCCAGCTTTGAGCAGGGTGGGGGGTGGGGTCACTAGATAACCTTTTAGGGTTCCTTGCAACATTCATTTTATATGGGTTGGAATAATTCAATACTATCTGTTCCCCTACTGCTGCTTGCTTTGGTGCAGGAGTGGGAGAAACATTTAAAATGATCCTCCAATAATGATATTTTATACTTTAGAAATTACATATAGACAGGTACCAAAGTGCTACTGAAAATGCATTTGTGGAGTCCCTGTGCTAGAACATACAGCAGTTGCAAAAAAAAGTAACATGCCTCAATTCTGCATAAGCTGCATGCAAATTGCTACAGCCATGTTTAATTTCAAAGGTAATATTTTCAGATTTTCTCCTCACTTCCATGTACTGAGAGAAAGCAGGATATAACAAGGAGAGGGGGAAGGAACTGCCAGCGAAAAAGTTGGTGGGAAGCAGAGACAAAGAGGGCTATCTAACCCCCAGATTTATTTTCCCTGCTGTAGCAGTGGGAGGGAGACAAATGAAGGAAAACGTCCAATTATTTCTGGAAAGTTATAACAAATTTATAAATTTTCCATATATAGAATATGATTGCGGGGGGTGGGGAAGTCATTTTATAATGAGGGTCATCTTTTATTTGAGTGAATATAGTAAAGAATCCATAGAATTAAGAAAAAGCAGGTCCTATTAGGTCAGCTAGTTAGTCTTCTTATCAGTGTAACCTTGTTAAATGTTTTGTTCACACTATTCTTAGATAAGTAACCAGATGGGGGTTCTGTTCTCCTGTTCTGTTGTGTTTTCTTCTGTTTCTCTTAAGCCAACTACTTCTCTCACTGGTTCAATCTTTTCTCAGACATTGAAAGTAGATTCTAATACTGGTACTGCATGTGTTTGGAATTGGATAAAAGAGACAAGCCTATTTGCCAATGTCACAGAGTCATTTCCAATACTTTTTGTTAGACCCCAATTCTATGTGGTGACCAACGACTAGGGAGATGATGATCCAATTGCTCATGGATCCTGTTACTCATTAGCCAGAGAAAGCAGGGAGCAAACACCAGCACACATTGCTTGCAACAGCTTTATTCAAAATGGAGACAGCTTTGGGTGAGCTCCTTCATAGACATCCAGCCTGTGAACATGGTGAGTGACAACGAACAATAGTTCTTTCCACTTCTATACACTTTGGCTCATGATTATTAACATTATTCCACCTCTGTTTCTCCTTCTGTTCCACCCATTTCTCCTCCCATCTCAAGCTCCGCATCTGCTTACTGTTTACTTTATTAGCACAGAATTGCCTGTTCATTTCATTCATGCCTCTTTGTTAAGTGCACATGTCTAAGACCTTCACCCCACTTCTTCAGTCAATGGGTGGACTTTGACTAAAACCTGGAAGCTTCTGGAGGCTTCCTCACTAATCGCCATTCACCTTTTTGCATATGTTCATCTCAGATTCTGTTACGAGTTACGTGTTGTTTTTCACATTCCAGTCTGTTTTTCAGTCCCAGTTGTAGCATCTTCTACATTCCTAAAGCTTCACCTCATTCACAGCATGCAGACTTACACAGACTCATTTGCTACTTTTTCAGAAAATGGTTGGCACAATTAAGATGGTTAGTTAGCATAAGTGAATGGCTGGCTTAGCTATCATTCTGCCTTGTGGTTAGCAGCTTTTGCTAGGCTGCAGGTTAAAGCCTTGTTTCAGCTGCAAATCCAATGCTCCCCAAGGTCCAAATATTGTCACCCTTACAGTTTTGAATTTTACTACTGCTACTACTACTTTTGAATTGTACTACTACTGAATTCTAACCCACTATAATTATAAATATTTCCAAAACAACTTATCCCTTTCATTTTTGCTTTCAAATCTCTTGTGGAGTGGGTCAACATTAATGATCCCTCTTTTTCTGGCAGGTATATTCAGTGGTATTCCCAAGCTACCGTGACCTCAGCCTTTGCTTAAAAGAAGAACAAATTTTGACTTTCAATGTTGTTGTTTTTTCTACATAAGTTATGTGCATGTGTATTTATTTCTGCTAGGCAAAATCTTTCCTTTGGGGTTTTCTAACACTTCTGCATGATCCCTTTAGCACTAATTAAAGTTTGTGACCTTATAATTTGGGAAATGTTGAATTTAAATGACTTTTTGTATGTCTGCTATATTTTTGCTAGTCATAGTAATGGCTGATATTTAAATTGTGGCTTTAAAAAAAATGAGGAAAATATAGAGTTAAAACTTGAAACATTCACTTTTTGTCTAACCAGCTCTTTAGGTCTTTGATATACACATTATTCCCCACCTGACCCCCAAAATTTTTAGTGTAATTTTTTTTTTTCAGAAATAAATTTCCCCCCCCCCATATATAGGGATAATGTGATGTTCAAATGATATTTACATGGCAATACTTAAACACATCATGTTGGAGTTTTACATCATTCACTTTCTAAAATTATTTTTCATATGCCTTCTTTATTAATAACAGGCTTCGCAGTATTTTATGTAAACATTTTCTTAACTGCTGCCAAATTCGATTAATATGTACCTTAATTTTGCTGTAGAAAAATAATATGGCACAGAAGAACAGTAAGCAGGAGCAGAAATTTCTGTTCTCTGCTTGGCTTGTGAATCTACTACATATGACATTCCAACATGAGAAACATATATTCTTAATTAGAGCTGGTTGAATTGCTCACTGTAAATAAATGTAGTTATTATTTTTAATCCTTCTTTTCTGGTTAGTGAAGTAATCTTGCATTAAACTAATCCAGAAATTCCATATCTCCATTTTTGAAATTCCAAAATAATTTTAGATGAATAAAGAAATGTTTTGTATTAGTTAGAATTGTTTGAAGAGCCTCCCCAAGGCATGTAACTTGATTTGTTATTCACAAGGACTTGCTGGATAGTTTTGGCAAAACAAACATTGGTTCTTGATTTATGGTTGTTCATAGAATCATCAATTAATCAAGTCTGCTCTGGCACATGTTAATTAGCATATGTCAGAGCAGAGGTCCGTCATGTGTATAGATGTCCTTAATTTACACAAGTGGAAGGGTGACATTTTTTAAAACAGGAAGCACATAATGGGTGTGTCTACATGAGATGCCCAACAAAACTGCACAGTAATGTGCCAGGCAAAACCAATGCTAATATGCTACGGTGCAGTAGCATTAGGCTAGTGAACAGTTAGCATCACTTAAAAGCCATGTGCTGGCACTACTGTGCAGTAGCACCAGTTACCAAGCACTGATTTAGTACTTGGTTATGCAAGTACTAAATTTAAAGCACAGTAACTATGGTGCATTAATGAATGTATAGATGCACCTAGTGAACAGGAAATAATGACTAACACACATCTATTTAATCTTTCCAGAAAAATATTTTTTTCTATTACAAATTTGTGAAATTTTTAGGATCACTGGACACTTCCAAAAAGAGTGACAAATATCTAAATACTTGGGAATTATCCTTCAAATAACACTGCAGAGAATATATTTTGCTTAATAATATTTACGTGATGCTGTGGCTAGCAAAGCAAGCAAAGCTAGCAAGCAAAACACTGGCTTGCATCCACAGATGCTTCTCAAGCAAATCCCAGGACATCATTCTCCCATTGTACTTGGCCTTGGTGAGGCCACAGCTGGAATACTGCGTCCAATTTTGGACTCCATAATTCAAAAAGGACGTGGAGAAACTTGAGAAACTGCAGAGAAGAGCCACGTGCATGATCAGAGGTCAGGAAAAAAAGACCTTATGAGGAGAGGCTTAGAGCCATGGGACTCTACAGCCTGGAAAAGCGCAGGCTCAGGGGTGATCTGGTGGCTACCTATAAGATCATCAGGGGTGTTCACCAGGATCTGGGGGAACATTTGTTCATCAGAGCGCCGCGAGGGATGACAAGGTCAAACGGTCACAAATGTTATCTGTCAGCTCTGTCTTGCTGAGGGAGGCCTGGCACCCAGCTTGCTGGACTTAGAATGGACTTTTTCTATTTCTCTCCCCGCCCCCCCCTC